GTTGTTGTAATGATATTTAATAGTATAGCAAATACTAGCGTATAATAAATGGCATTACTTTCTGACGTATGGAAGCGTGTGTTTTAAGCATCTTTACGGCCAATTGAATGACCGCCGAACTGGAAGTGGAGGGAATGGTAGCCAGGAATACGTCGCCGAAGTAGCCGTTCCCTATGCGCCGCTTCAGTGTTATGCACTTGGAGTCGAAACATAACGGCCCCCTCCGGTACTTGAGTAGCGATCGGTGCACCTCTTCCGGCTCCTCATCCAAACAGACTGTAAATTAAATTGTATATAATTTTGACAATATTTTGCTAAACAATAGGTTGACATTTTGGGTTGGAAGTTCTTAGTTTTTTGTATTTGATCTTGCTTATATTTGAGTTTTTAGGATTCAAAATATTCATATAGCAATATTAAGCGTAAAATAAACTGTAAGTTGAATTAAAAATATTTTCTAATTTAATAAATTACAATTTACTTAATTTTGTTTGGGAGACCAAACATGTGATATTTATGATAATATTATTTTATATTAAATAGACTGTAATGAATTATTCTAAAATAAATAAGTTTTGAAAGCAGATTATTTTTTATATATCGGATATTTAAGAGCAACTGTTTTTATAAATTTTGTTTGTATTAATTATAAATTGTTATAGATTTTTATATTTTAGTAACTTGTTTTAGATCAAATAAAGTTTGCATTGATTTATACGACATATAAATCTTTCTGAGCACTTGATAAAAGCATTATAGATCCGATTGTGAATATCAAACTCCCTTTCCTATACATAACTATTCCCTTATTGAATGATCGATTCACTATCTATGCACTAAATCTTAAATCTGATAACAAATCAATACAGATATGTAGTGATCAATGAGCAGAGAGAGAGAGAGAGAGAGAGAGAGAGAGAGAGAGAGCACAGGCATCTCACATATCAGTTGAATAGAGAGAGAGAGAGAGAGAGAGAGAGAGAGAGAGAGAGCACAGGCATCTCACACGAATGGACAGGCATTAAGCCCCGAGTGAGCACTTACTGAGATCATAGTCTTTGAGCTCAACTCTGGACGAGTTGTCAGTGTTGTCGAGATCTGCGACACCAATGGATGCCTTCGTATCAATCGATTCCTTCTCCAGTTTTATTGAATCGTATTCATAGACAGAACCCGTGGTAGTGGTGGTGACCGACTCCCTGTCCCCTTTTGACTCCCGGCCCTCTTGACTTTGTTTGTGTTGAGACAAATCAACGCTAATTGTGTTATCGGTTGTCGAGAATTGAATCAAATTCTTGGATTCCGTATTCTTTGGAGCGATGAATGGCATCGTAATGGGAGTCAAAGAATTGTTACACAAATAGAAACAGCGATTAGTTATCAGAATATTGTTGTGTATTGTCTTAAGGATTGAATTATAGGTTATACTGTAGTAGTGTTAGCCAATGAGATCATAATTCATTTATATATGAAATTCTGTACACTATTCAAAAATTAATGATTTTATTTATGGTATAAAATGTGTATAGTTTTTAGTTTTGTAAGTATTTTAAGTTGTTTTCTGGAGAGAGAGAGAGAGAGAGATCGTTTGGCGTAACAAACAGAATGAAAAATAATATTTTATATTTCATTTGATTTATTAGTTTTTAAAATATATATAATTTATGTGTTTTTCCGTTTAAAAACTATACACTATTTTCAATTCTACTTTTCATTTCAATTTATTATCAAAAAGTATATGTTATTTATTAATGAAAAATGATATTTCATTTTATATATTAACTATAAATCTAATGCCAAAATTTTTTGAGTTATGTATTGTATAGATTAAATAACTTTTGGTTTGAAAACAAAAAATGAAAATAATGCATAAAACATTTAAATAATAATATAATGAATTACTATTTTTGCTGATACTTAAAGAATTAATAAAATGATTGAATGTTTGTAAATCCATGGGATTTATGATTAATATATTTTTTTAAAAAAGATTTTGAATAATCACTTTTTTGAAAAATATTATATCAGCATTTAGTTTAAATCTTAATCGTATAGTTTAAAACTTTATCTAAAAGTGTATTTCTCTATAATTTAGTGAAAATAATATACTATGACATTAGCACAGTACCTATATATCTCACGGATAATTAAATGATTAACTATACAATGGCTGATCCCCTATCACTGAAACACTAAATTAGTTTTTAATTTAAAAATAATTGATTCCTAATAGTGTACACAATACAGTATGATTACTATATGGTATATAATTTATAGTATGAAACAAATACCTCTGAATTGGTGTCACTATTGAAACAGATATCAAACTCTTTCAACAAATCAATAATCGGCGGAACTGTTGAGCACTGATTCTGTGAATTGTGTGCCGTATGTGATGTCTGTATGAGATTCTGTACATTCGTGTCATTACTGCGAGAATCGCTTGACTCATAGCTATTATTCTTTACGCTCGCATTCTGTGAGTTATTCTTATGATTAAACTTATTATTAATAGCAATACTTTCATTGATTACTCTATCAGTGGTGGCTATCGTGGAGGCAGTGGTATGGGTAGTAGTAGTAGTGCTGGCGCCGGTAGTTATGGCACTGGCGTTGATGGTGCCATAGATATCATCGCTGCCATCACCGCTGGTGGTGGAGCCGCAGCTACTACTGGCGCTGATTTGTGAGCTCCCATTCCCGGTGACTAATGACAGACACTTGGCTACTGGTGCCGCCACCACCGCCACAGCGCCAGTATTTGGTACAAATAAATCACCGCTAATTGATTGGTTCGTAAATATTTGCGCCAATTCCTCAGCACTGGTAGCTATGTTGGCGGACGGCTGTGGCTGTTGTGTTGATGTAATTGTCTGATCTGTAGGTGCGATGATCATCCCTTTCCCCTCATTACCCGTTAATAAATCGAGTGTTTGTTTTGATGAATCGGTGCCACCATTCCTACAATTATTATTGCGCTCATCAATCGTAATACCGGTGCTGTTGTGGGCGCTGATGCCGTCGATGTGGAGGCTGTTGTCGAAGTGGAGCAACCAATCCGTGCAATTGCACCGACACTTATGGCTGTCGTCCAGGGATTGGGTCCTTTGGACGACCTCCTGGTTGGCGTAAAGTCGGGCTAATGTCTGGTTCGTGAGGCGTATGGACTTCCGGGGCGCCGGCACTGGAGGTGTCAGTGTTTGCTGCAAATGCAGTCGACGTACCGATTCAATCGGGTCGACCATTAAGGCCTAAATCACCGGGATTAATATTTTTATAGTAATTGTTTGCAATAAAACTTTATGTGTCTTAAGATTTTTTGGGCTTTTATTTTGTTTATATTAAGGAATGTAAAGAATATTCTTGTATTAATAGCTAATAATATTTTGTTTGTTATGCGGATTGAGAGACAGACATAATATTTATTATATTTTTGGTTATTTTTAGTTTAATATTTATAATGGTTTGGCACACAAATCAGTTGAATAGAGAGAGAGAGAGAGAGAGAGAGAGAGAGAGAGAGAGAGAGATCATGGTAATTTATATGTATATTAATAAAAGTGAAATATACTAGTTACTAGTATATGATGTATAAATAAATTACTCTCTCTATTCTAATGGATTGAATTGGGTTTATATATCATATAAAATATATAAATTTTATATTATAGATATGAAATGTCCTTTACTTAATATTTATTACGCATACAACTCACAAACAGGCAATTTATTCAATAGGAGTTCCCATTAATATGGACTTACATTTGCAAATCTACGGCAATAAATGTAATGAATATTCAGGAAATGTTAAAATACTTTATTGTAATTACGAAGTCGTTTGTAAACAAATTAGTAGTTATTTTTGTGAATATGAAAACTGATTTTTAGTTTATGTGTATTATTTATTAGCTAAAATAATTTTTATATAAATTATTTATAGTGAATTTTAATTGAATTAAAATTTGATATAAAGTTTTTCCGTGAAAGTCTTAGCGCAATGTAATCTGATTTGTAATAAAGTGTTCAAAAAATAAGAGAAATTGAAACAAAAAAATCAAAACTTATTTATAGCTTAAGTCTATATCGAGTACTGAATAGACCATTGAGTTCCAAATATATAAATCTCTTAAAAATAGGGATGTATGAGCTTGATCAACTTATAAATGATTCACAGCACTAGTTATTTGCTTTTATTATAAACTTAGTAGTAATAAATAGTTTATAAACTTGATAGTGTACTAATTTTATATTAATGAATCAATGATTAATAAATTTATAGGATTTCATTCAT